CGCTGAGCCCGGCGGGGAGGGTAGGGGTGGCCGAGGGGGCTTACGGCCTGACTGACGTACGGATCCGCACGGCCTGCACGTACGGCCAGAGAAATGAGGGCCGTCATTGGGGGCGTGGGTCGGAGTGGGGTGTAAGTAGTGTATGAATCATAATGGGCTCCCCCTCCCCCCTTCCCCAAAAAGGCAGATCAATAATGATAGGGAATGGCAGGTTTCAAAGAGTAAAACGTTCCTTCAATTTTCCTAATTTGAGTCCATTAAGTTGCAAATAATTTTGGTCTATAACGCCCGAAAAGCTACAAGGCTCTTCCGGTCCTTCACTTTCGCTTTCGTTAACTTGGTTGGCCTTGAAACTTAAGTGCATTGGCACAATCTCCCGCGTGTCCCTATTCTAGGATGATGTGATCGACTGCCCATCATCAGAAGATCGTTATTTTGGCCCTTCCCTTTATCCACTGACACGTCCGTGTCACACTAATGTCAGATTATCACTCATATCCCTTCCCACTCATCTTGTTTCCTCCCCCTTCTTTCTTACTTACACACACCAACACACACTGATGTATAAAAAAATCTTTAACGAACAAGTAGTCGCAGGTTAAATTCTAAAGTCCTTCGTAGAATCCTCAATAAAAATCCCGCGGGTAGCGCAAAAACTTCTAGAAGTCCCAACAAAGCCTTAACAAATGTATAAGTGACATTACTAACATGTAACTGTTACACCTGATACACAGTAACGATGTTGTCGTCACCCCTTTTTAAGAATTTTGAAGTTGAATGGGCAAATCTGAAACGAAACAACGTATTTGTTTTGCGTAACGACTAGTAAAATGCACACAGATAAACTTCCAGGGACAATACTGCCAACATGCCACCGATAATGATAATGTTCCGAGAATGGAGTAATCCAGTTTAACGATATTGTTGTTGAATGAAAAACCGGCCCAGGCCAATGTGAATGAGATAAAATCAACCTTAACCTCGGAAGCCGTCGCAGCGTCGACAGCGCTTGACACTGTAGCGTCAGATAGGTCAAACCACTAGCGATTAATGGAGTAAAAGATTAAAACCCTACCTCGTGTATGCCAATTCAACACGCAAATGGGAGACTTAGTGAAAAGAACGGAAAGTCTGTGGATTGCCGCTTTTACATCGTCAGATGAATCAGGCTTACCCTGCCTCTTTGATCGAGCTCGGCCGAAAAGGCGACGCGACGCGACGCAGTGCGAGAGGCTACTGTGCCGGCTCGCTCTGGTGCGGCTCTTCGAGGCAGTCCGTCCCCGATAACCTTATGACCTGGACCAAACTCAAACCCCCCGCGCCTCCCTGCAGCCCGCATCTGTAGCTGCACTCTTCAAGTGAGAGTGAGGTCCCCTTGCTGCCGAGTTCGACATGGTCATGCCTTGTAGATCATGTTTTCTAGTGACCCATATTGCAAAATAAAGCCGAGCCTAGATATGTGTTTCTTCAGTTATTTGAGAAATAGGAATAAACAATGATAATTAAAAGGTGAATTATAAGGTAATAAATAATGTTTTATTGCGGTAATCTTGAAATACACATATGAAAAAATTATTCAATATATTTGTACGAAAACACTTAGGTATCACAATCTACCGTGACTATTTCCACCATACTGTCGTTAATAAACACACTCTTACGTGATACATTAGTATCATATCGTTTGTCTAGTAAATGCTGAGACACAATAAAAAAACAACAGATCTATTATTCAGGACAATCACAATAAAATAGATTCTTGGTCGTCTCTTCGTTGAAAGTAATGTTAGCATCGAACACTAAATTCTTTTTACAAGGTAGCCTTTCACTTAGTGTGTCCGCCATACGGGCCCATAATTAATACCTTTGTCTCCCAGGTGTTACAGAGAGTATTCAAAATGCATGTTAAAAACACTCAAAAACGTCAAGACAAAAACGTTTACCAGAAACGGCAAACAGATCGGACACAGTGGATCCCGAGCAGCGCGAAATGAACATGTAAATGCACACTAGCGGTAGTACATTATTAGCTCATCATAGGCGTGTGGTGCGTACTAAATGAAGTTTTACCTTTTTTAATGCGCATTGGAGGCAACAATACATGTACTACAATAATTAGTGCACACTTCTATGAGCATTATGCGCGTAACGGATGAGCTAAGTGTCAGTCTACCTTTAACGCACATGGTTTAGGTCGCCGATGCCTTTTCTTTATCTATGTCAAGAAATGTTTAGCATTCGACCGAGGTAAATATATATTATATGCACATTTAAGCTTTTGAGATTCAAAATGCCATGACATGAGGGAGTCACTTAGTATGAAGAAGAGAACAATATGACCACTTAGTAGCAGAGCGTAGCGTCTAACCATATGAAAGCACCATAAACTAAACGCATACCTATTGAAAACCGCGAGTTTTCGGCCTACATCAGTTGCATTGGTGGTTACAGAGTGTAATTTGTGTGATCAAAACATGGTAAGCATTTGAGGTGCATTTCAAACGTGATTGTAAACTGCATGTTTAACGTCGACGCTACGCCACGGATCTACCGATCGATCTGCCATCTGCCCTTCTTCTTCATACTTTGAGTAACTTCCATATAACTGATATACATTACATCAATATCCACTTGATCGTGTAACAACAAACAAGTCGACTGGACACAGGGTTTGGTAATCAATTAAAGCAGATTCATGAGAAGACGAGATCAAACACTGAAGAGTATAGAATTAAACCCTAATTAATGCCAACAGAGTTTTCCCTGAGACATACATAGAATACCCGTTACTATGATTAGTACCTTTTGAAATATGTGAATCATATAGTCATTAAAGTACTCAGTGCTCGGCTATTGCCGATAATTCAATCATAAATGTACATGCATATTAACCTAACTATAATAAATGTTTCTATTGACATACTGCAATAAAATCAAAATTATGAATTATTATGAAGCTTATATAAGCAAATGTATGTATCTAGAACTCGTCGAACTACATAGCAGGCTTACAAAATTCACTGTGCAGTACGTAGTCAGTCTTGAATTTACAGTTAACTATCTCAGCTTTCTCATCTCGCAACCTTACAAATGCTGTCATTGTACTGTGAAATGAACAGTTCACATCTTTTAGTTATAGTGCGCTGGAACAAAATCCTTATAATCTCGCTACGAGCCACTCAGTATTTCGAGATAATAAAATAATTTAATAGACTTCCTCAACCAGTAATGACAAGTTCAATTTCCACGGCAAACTAAATGCTCACTGATGTGGTAACAATACTCTTTTACCAGCTTATTCCGTAATTTCATTCAGGAGATACTAAACGACTCAATGTCACAAGGTATTTGGAACCGGTAACGAAATTGGCAAACGCACCACGTAAAGCACTTCGATAAGTCTTTGGTTCGGACCCACTACAACCTTCGCAGTTTTGACAGCGCGCCAAGAAAGTCACACAAAACTCTCGTCAAGGGCGCGCTGTGCCTCGTCTTCAAGCGCGTCTTCCGGCACGTCTTCCATGAGTGGTCGATGAACGCCGTTCAACTGGGGCGGGAGAGTAGCAGGCAGACAGGAATCCATGCGACGCACAACGGTCACCGTGTTGTGCTGCGGCACCCTGAAACAGCGCGCACCAGTTGCAATACATCCACAATAAATAACGATATCGTGTCTTTCCAAGGGTGATATAGAAATTTCCGGCACAGTCAAGAAATTGGTCATTTTCACGCTGTGCTCACGCCGGCGGAAGGCCGATGGGTAGAGTGGCGTTACCGCCGCTGCTGCCTCCCCCCTCCCTGCCCACATCAGGCCAGCATGGAAATAACCAATTATTAACTGGGTATAACGAGTATATGTTATTGAACTTGGGGCATTAGTTTTCATCTGTACACTGAAAATCCAACACTTTGCTTAGCACACTGTTTATTCAGTGTGCCTGTAGACAGTGAGCTTGGAAAATCACGCTAATTAACAAGTGTGCCTGGGCAGCACACTGATTTAACAAGTGTGCTAACTACACGGTTGGTTAGACTTGCAATGTGACCAACAACCAACCTTTCGGCTGGACCGCTGGCTGAATCCGAAGACGTAGTGGACGCCTTCCTTTGCAGAACACCACGTAGCGAATCACCTCCAAGAGAACCACGCGTTAGGCTGCGCCTCCAAAACCCTTCGGGAGACATTCTGAGGAAAGACAACAAGAAATTGGCCAACCTAATCAGTGATGCCACAAAGTAAATAAAACTAGTCAAGGCGTATACCAGGTGGCATATACGCCTTTCACCAGGCAATTTCTCGTCTTGTCTGTTGCCTGAGGCAGGCAGAAATATTCCCCACTAAACACTGCGGCAATTTGGTTAGTTTATGCCTACTTTCCTTGCAGCGCGGGACATCGGCCGTTGTTCCTAGGACCCATCAAAATTTTATTTCCACGAAAAAAATTTGATTTAAATGATAATGAGGGAGTCTAAAGCTATTTAATTAAAAACGCACGCTGAAGCCGCGCTTAGGGCAGCGTGTTCACACACCCGTCCTCTGGGAACATCATTTCCACGAATGCTCTGAATATGCACCGTTGGAAGCATCTTACTTTTAGCAATGGAACAAGATGTCGCACCGCTGCAACCACAGACCAGCCGTAGTTCCAATCTTTCCTTTGCAACAGTAGGACATCCCGTTCCACAGTAAATAGAGTGGGAATGTTGAACTCTTGGATATTCAGAGTCCACCGTGACCCTTTTACTTGCCTGTTGTTGCTGGAGCAGGTGGTTGTAGAGGTGGTCGTGTTGAAAGTGCCCTTTCGGCCAAGGCTCTTCTTACAGCGCTTCACACCACATAGCCTCATGAAGCCGTCTCTGAACTTGGATGACATGAGATTATACAAGATGGGGTTGATGGCTGAATTTAGGTACAGCATGATGCGGCAAAAGAAGAGCAAGTTGTAGTAGCCGGCAAAGCCTAGTGCCATGACATCCTCGGGTGGCACAACTATGATCCATAGAGTAAACGCACGAAATGGCAGCAGGCAGATGAAGAAGGACAGCACCACAGTCCCCAGCATCATGACGACCTAGCAAAGGAGTTACTATGAACTTACATATTGATTTTCGCATAACCCCAGCCCCTGGTTTAAACACGTGTATGGCCGTTTCATGAGAGTATAAGGGGATGGAGAGGCAACGACGGGCGGGCCAGGGCCTGCACGGCCAAATGT